CTCCAATTAAAAATAGGTATATGATGTAAACACTCGATTTACGCCACCTTCAATTGACCATTATTTAAAAATAAGTTTTATACAAGGAAGTAAATGATACAACTTAAATTTGACTACAGTATTGATGGGGGATTGAATAAGCTGTCGTGGAGCAAGTCATCTTAAATGCACAGTAACATTCCGCAAACGATGGACCAATCAGAAACGCTCAAATCAAGGTATTGAGTCATATTGACCAATTAGAAGTAATCGAACCGAAGACGACGGTTTCTTCATACTTGCACGTGTAATTTTATGGAAAAATTTTAAACAGCAGTTTGGTCTGAACAAAAGAGGGAATTGCGAAATGATTCATAGATTTCAACTAATCAAGTAATGAAAAGTCTACTCAGTTCGCTACGGGATCGATTAAATCAAGTGATCCAACAGTTTAAATGATCTGATTAATTTGCTATGATGATTCATAATTTCAACTACCTTCCCGCCACAGGAACGGCTTTAAAATTACCCACGATTCAATGGGTGATGATACATGCATCAGCCGCGGGTTTACGCAACCAGGCCAATAAGCACGGCGTATGCACACCGCGCTTAACAAGACTTGAAATTTGAAAGATGTTATAGAGGCAAGTTTTAAGTTTCGTTGACGTCGTGATCGTTGACACCGTGATCATGTTTCATAAGAGTCAGAATTTTTTATTTTTGGATGATCATGGTGTCAACAAAAACTTAGAAAAACTATTTGTTGACACCATGATCGTTGACACCATGCTACGTAATCCATCCTCTAGGGGGGGGTCAAAATTTTTGTCCCCCCCTTAGGGAGGGCGCGGGGGCCCCCAACTTTTTTTTTCAAACGGTAACCCCTATCTTGTGATACATCACTAGAAAGAACATAAAAAACTAAGAATTTTGACGCAAATCGCAAATCAATGTCTTAATTTTTGACCGAGTTATGATAGGTCAAAGGTCAAATTCAACTTATTTTCAAAAAATCATATCTCCGGTTCAAATTATCGTGAAGAAAAAAATAAAACGGAAAAATTCACCAAATTGTAAGCACTTTCAAGTAAAAATCACAGAAATTCCTTCAAACTAATTTAAAGGGGGGTTTCGAACCTCCAAATACGTCATTTTAAAGGTCACACGATATTCTCGCGAAATGAGCCAATTTTCCCTTACTTTTCCGCAACATCATCTTAGTAAGTTCAAAATTAGTTCAACATTGCGTTTTCAAGTCCCCAAATTTCGAGCAAAGTTCAAAAAACGAAATTTAAGGTGATTCAATTAAACTATTTAAATTTCATTTTTTTTAAAACTGTAAAACGGGTTAAGATATTGATTTGCGGTTTGCACCAAAATTCTTAGTTTTTTATGTTCTTTCTAGTGATGTATCACAAGATAGGGGTTACCATTTGAAAAAAAGTTGGGGGCCCCCGCGCCCCCCCTGAGGGGGGGACAAAAATTTTGATCCCCCTAGAAGAGGGACTCCTTTAGGATAGAAACATTCCCAAAGTTTCGTTTTTCCATCTCTAACCGTTCAAAAGTTACGAGGGGGGGTACGGACTTTTGGGACACCCTGTAAATATCCCCCGAAACATGCTATATATATATATATAACTTGCGCTATACCCCGTTTAGTAGAGTAAAAGGCCAAAGGACCCCGCACACCTCTTATGGGAAGCTTCACCATGAAGGAACGTTAATTCATTTACGCCATTCGATTCGAAGATAAATTATTCGGCGATAAAAGATCAGAAAAATTCCTCATTTCAGTATTCGATTGACAAGGGGCTGTCTGTCAACAAGGAAATCAGGGGAACTCCAACGGACACGTCGAGAGCGGGGGAAGGGGGAAAACCCTAGAATCGGCAGGTACAGATAAGGGGAATTGCCGAATTGGTTCCCAAGTGGCCGAACTGGTTCTCAAGTAGCCGAAGCCGAACTGGTTCCCAAGTGGCCGAACTGGTTCCCAAGTGGCCGAACTGGTTCCCAAGTGGCCGAACTGGTTCCCAAGTGGCCGAACTGGTTCCCATTTCCGATGACGGTCATTTCCGTATTGGTTCCCACTTCCGAAGATCGTATTGGTTCCCGTGTCCGAATTAGTTCCCATCTGTGAATTCGTAATTAAAAATGTTTTATTCAGAATTGCAACACGGCACGCTTAAGTGCTAGTATTTCCCTTCCCATTTTGACAGGCTTAGGACGGTCCACCAGCAAGGTAGGCATGGTTAAAAATGTTGTGAAAATGAAAATTAGAGTAAGCAATCCAAGAGGGAATTTAAAGAAATGCTCCAGATTTCTATATACATTTCAGGAGAGGAGAGGCCCCGGCCGACTAGACAAGACTTTATAAAGGAGGGTAGGCTGTGGAATCCCTGACTAATTCCCTGGACAACTATAAGTAATATTAAGACAATGAAAATCAGAAAATAAAAATCAAAAGAGAAGAAGCAGAAAAGGAAAGATTTGTCAATAAAATTCTGAATTATACCCTGAAAAGTTAGTAAAAAGCTACTTCAAAGATTGCACGAGCAAGCATTTAAAAGCTATTTTTTTTGGAAAACCTTGACGATCGTGATTTTGAATATATTCTTTGACCGCAGTTTCCTCAACCACTCGCCTTGCACAGTTGCCGCTTCTTGCAAAAAACCAACTCACTCGCAGGAACCAATTCGGACATGTAAAATTTTGAATCGGGAACCAATGCGGACCAGGGTTTTGTTTCATCCGGGAACCAGTTCGGACCAAAGGTGACAGCCACGGGAACCAATTCGGGTTCACCCCAGATAAGAAGACGGACAAGCGCTACGTTTTTTCCTTATTTACATCGGGCCTGTTCTCAAATGCTTCGTTCTTTTTTATTCATCGTCGCCGAACAATTGAAACTTCTCGGCGGTTTTTTTGCGAAAACGGTACATCGTAGAAAGTTGCTGCAATTATAACTTTTAATCAGCATCTTGAGGAGAATCGAATGACATAATTAACATTTCTTCATGGTGCAGCTTCTGGCAGCTTCCCATTAAAGGTGTGCGGGGTCCTTTCCACTTTTGCCGGCTAGGACTGCAGTTGTAAGATCGCTAGTGTCGCTTCCAGATTTAGCCAAATTACAAATTAAATTACAGTGTTGTATGACGGGTATTGTACAATATGGCAACGCTGTAAAAAGTATCGTATGTTACCCCTTCATTTTCAGGGCTGCGCAATGGTGCATGTACAGGGTGTCTAGCAAATTTTTCTTTTCATTCTCCCTGACTTTCAAGGTTTTCCCTGACCTATTGAATTTTCTTTCTCCATTAGCGGACGCTAAAGGAGGCGTCGCGGACGCTTTAAAGGCGTCGTGGACGCTTCAAAAGGCGTCGCGGACACTTCAAGAGGTGTCGCGGACGCTAAAGGAGGCGTCGCGGACGCAACAAAGCGATAAAGAGGGGGAGCACCACTAGTCAGCACCATAGAATAAAGAGACTATGCTACGTAGTCTCTTCATTCTATGTCAGGACTAACGGTTCATATGGGACCTCAGACCAGGAGAGAGCACTGCACGGCTAAATGTCGAAGCGCCGTAAAGTTATGCAAAAAATCACGATCTTCGACGAAAGTTCTCTTCTCTCCCGGTTTTGCGTTTTTCTTCCCTGACTTCTCCCTGACCAATTTCATCTCCCTGACTTTCCCGGTTTTCCCGGTCGCCAGACACCCTGATTGTAGCCAATATGGAAAATGTCATTGAGAATTTTATGATGACTTTGAAAGAATCTAAGTTTATAAAAAAATCAGTAATTTAATTTGCGGGGGACTGAAACTCTAAATTTTTTGGTGTGGCTAAATGCAACAAATTTTGTTGCGTGGCACCACGCAACAGAAATTGTTGCATTTAGCCACAGTCATTTTGATTGTTTCATTTAGCCACACAGCACCTGTAAGTTGTGGCTAAACGCAATAATTTTTGTTGCGTGGCGCCACGAGCCGTGGCTAAATGAACAGATACCACTTTAATCTGCGGGTTATGCAATGCTGTATGTTGCCCCTTCAACTTGTAGGTTATGCACCAGTGTTGCCGGACTGTGCACATAATTAAATGATTTAATTATTGGTGAAACCTGGCGACATCAAGTTGTACGGTGTTGCCAGATGGTGCAAGAAATAAAAATTTTCCTTACATCGTTGCCACATGGTGCAAGAAATAAAAATTCCTTACATCGTTGCCAGATTGTGCAAAACATTCAGAATTCCGGACTTGTAAAATCTAGGCATCAATAGACCATCTCCTTTGGATGGGTCTGGATACAGGGAGTGGGAGTGTGTCTAAATTGTTTTGAGATAAGAAAAACTCGCAAAATCCACTTTCTTTGACTAAAATTAGCAAATTAGTGTGATCCTAGTCTTCACATTTAGAGAAGGTGACAGGTTCAGTTGTCACCTCCCTCCCCCTCCCCTCACCACTTCTAAGAGACCTCGAATCAAAACATCAGAATTCAGAGGTGAGGAAATGGATGTTGATGGTGCGTAGGAACATATAAATTTCAATAGTGGTTCACAGCTGGCAACTATGTCAAAGGGTGAAGTGACGTAAAGACTAAATTGGACTAAATCAAAGGGGCTTGTACAAAGAACATTTAGAAATTTCAATCGTGAGTGTTTATGGAGAGATTTCAAGTTAAAACTTGATAATCTGCCGTATAGGTAGGTCATATCTTTCAATATCTTTCATATATTTCTGAAATTTCATGAAATATTTCACGTGAAATTTCACGATTTTATTTTTCATTTTATTTTGCCGCCCTGACGCGGGGTGCTCTTCCGACGAGCTTCACTAGACTTGACTCATGACTCATGGCCGCCTTCTTCTCAGCAGCCGGCGTCACTGCTGCCTCCACCGATTGGCGGAAGTGACGTCAGATCAGCGGAGAGGAAGGGAGCGGGACTTTTTAAAATACTGTGCGAATATTCTCTTATTGTAACACTACAACATTACCCATAAAATACATATATATGATACCTACGGCTTTTTCCTTACCTTCTTCCGTGACATCCAGCGCCTCATTCCTCTAAAAAGAGAAACAAAAGTAAGAACAACTGAACCACCATAAAACCTTGTAAAATACGTAGCCAACATGAATCCATTTGGACGTATTTCTGCCAAACAGAACTATGTGCATTATGATGTGAGCCCTGATATACATATATTTATATGGGTCTCGGGGCTCATGCCCTAATGCACATAGTTCCAGAAATACGTCCATTTAGTACCGTAGAGTCCCTTTATACTGGAGCGCCGATGAGGTCACTTTTTGAGGCTGATCTGTGCAGAACTCTTGAGACTAGCGTGCGGCTACTGGCGATGCCGTATGCGCGGGGTACCAGCTCCCGGCTTTGCTTTGAAATGTATGTATGTATGTGCCGCTTTTACAGCACTTTTTGGCGCTCTGCGACCCCTAGCCGCCAAAGTCCCCTATCCTCCCAAAGCCCTTCAGGGAGTTGGCAAACCCTCATTTCTTCTAAAACCCCCTGTCGCCACCCTTTCACTGGGCGTCCCCTTCGTCTCCTCTCAGGAGGAACCCAATCAAGCAACTTCTTTGGCAGCCTTCCTTCCGTCATTCTATTCACATGACCAAACCAGACAAGCTGTCTGGTCATGACGTCGAATATGATGTCATTTTCGACTCCCATGATCTGACGCACTCTTTCATTGCGGACCCGATCTCTCCTAGAAATACCTGCAGACCTCCTCCAGAAATCCATCTCCGTTGCTCTTAGCATCCTCTGTGTCCGCTCCTTCAGCTGCCAAACTTCACATCCATAAGTAAGAATACTCTTGACTACAACGTTGTAAATTCTCCTCTTGTTCTCCTTGGAAACCCGAGGATCCCAGAGGATTCCATTCAACATCGCTGTAGCCTTCCTTGCCAGGGTGTTTCTTTCCTTAATCGCCTGATCAGTTCTTCCATCCTGGGTCAACCGCACTCCCAAGTACTTATAGTGCTCGCAGCCTTTGATCTGCTGCCCATCCTCCAACTCAATGCCTTGCTGATCACCTACCAAAGTCAGTTTCTCGGATTTAGAAATACTGACTTCCAAACCCCACTTACGATACTCTTCTACCAACTTGCGCATCATGTACTCGGCGTCATCTTGATCTTGTGCAATCACCACTTGGTCATCAGCAAAGCACAGAGTGAACAGAGTTTCAACCTCACTCAAGGGGACACCCATCCCTCCACATTTTTTCTTCCATTCTTTCAACACATACTCAAGATATATTTTAAATAAAGTTGGCGACAAACAACATCCCTGTTTAAGACCCTTCGTTACATAAAAACCCCCCGACAATTCTCCATGACACTTAATTTTCGTAAAACTTCCTTTATAAAATCGCTTGACAGCGTCAATCAACCCCCCGTTAAAATTTGATTTTTCCAAGGCTTCCCAGAGCTTCACCAAAGGCACACTGTCATACGCCTTCTGGAGATCCACAAAAATTAAATGCAGCTCCTGAGCTACGGCCATTTTCTTCTCAACGACCTGGACAATAACAAAGAGGTGATCTATCGTAGACCTGCCAGCTCTAAAACCAGCCTGCTCCTCTGCTTCGTGATCTTGCCATTCTTCCTCGATCTTCGCTTTTAGTACCTTCCCGTACACTTTGCTTATTGTCCCGGTCACTGAGAGCCCTCGGTAGTTGTTACAATCGTTCTTCCTTCCCTTCTTTTTGTAGATGGCCTTGATCCAGGACTCCTTCCACTCCCCTGGCACCTCGTCACCCCTAATGCATTGCTGCATCAGTTTTCTGAGGCACTCGAAGAGCTTAGGAGTCCCGCTCTTAACCAATTCAACAGGGATTCCACCTGGACCCGGTGCTTTGCCATTTTGCAGCTCTTTGACCGCTTTAATTACGTCCGTGATATGGATTTCCAAGTTGTTTAAAGTTCCGTCGTCCGTGGTGTCATTGTGAAACTCTGGGCGCCTCTCCGTTAAAAGGTCTTTAAAATGATCCTCCAAATTAAGTGATATCGGAGACAAGATATCCCGCTTCATGTCTCTGCGTAAACCTTTGATTAGCTTCCAACTCTCTGCACTTTTTCTTCCCCCTAGGTAGGTGTTGATTCGATTGCAGTTGCTTTCCCAAGCTTCATTTTTCTTTCTTGTTATGAGGTTCCTGACTTTTGACTGAGCTTTCCTGTACGCAACTTTATCTTCCGATTTTTTAGACGACAAGAAAATTTGATGTTTTTGCCTCTTCAGATTGATCTCGTCCTCTATTTCTCTATCCCACTAGTACGGTCGCTGGTTAGGTCGCTTTGAAATTCCAGGTATAAAATTTATATCATACACAGGGTATCCCAGACTACCCATGCCAGGCCTTTTTCTCGGTTGGTTAAGGTCGTTCGTAGTTGGGGACCTCGGGGTTGAGTAGGGAATCAACCCCAAGGAATCCGAATTTCATGGTCCCGAAATCCCCCCAGTCCCACTAAAAGGGTAAAGGGGCACCAAACCAACAGTCGGGGTTCCCGATAGAACTGCGATTCGATTGCATTAAAATTGAAAAGTACGGAAAATTTCCCGTGCAACTGACCCCTAAAAATCTAAAATCGGAACACTTTACGCCTAAAAACGATCCCTTGGAGAGGGCGACAGGGGCCTTCTTCATATTGCCCCTCCCCCCTCCCCAAGGGGTCCTTCGGGGCCATGAAAATCGGATTTCTTGGGGTCGATTATCTGGAATATCATCTTTTTCCGAAGAATCCACGTCAATTTTGGACCAAAGGAAAATTATGGAGGGGGCCGCTGTCGCCCTCTTTAAGGGCTCATTTTTGGACGTAAAGTGGTCCGATTTAGGATTTGTACGGGTTTTCCGCGATTTTCAATAATGCAATCGAATCGCAATTCTATCGGGGACCCCGACTTTTGGGATCGTAACCCTCGACTTTACCCCCCAAAGGTGGCTGAGGGGGAGGGGGTTCAGGACTATGAAATTCGCATTCCTGTGGGACAATTTCCTCTTCATTCCCACGGTCCCCGACTTCGCACGACCTAAACCAACCAAGAAAAAGGCCTGGTACGGGTCTGGGACACCCTGTGGGTAAACTGCGGGTTTCGAACATTTTTTAATTTGTAATGATTTAGGTCAACACTCAACATACATTATTACAATTTGCGACGGTGATTATCAATTTGAATCAATTAATAAAAATTATTTTCAAAAAACATTACCGTAATGGAGACAGTGCTGCCACAGAGTTAGCAATTCTACGGACTCCATCTGGTAGCCCCTATCTCAAAGGGGTTTTGGGGTTGGTCACCGGCTTCCAGGCGGATGAACCACCCAGGAAAGAGCAGTTTAGGCTTTTAGCCATCACAGTGAAGGTAACCAATCTAGGAGAGCGCACACCGAATTCAAACGCTAATCCTTCAAGTTGGGGGTTATGACATCGGGCTGAGTCCCCACTACTTGTAAAACGATTTAAATGTTAAACGACATGGCCAAAAAAGTCTCGGGACCCATGTCAAAACACGGATACTTCGGCAATCATTACAAAAAAAAGACAAGGGTATTAAGGACGAGGAATGTCCAGAAGTAATGTAAGAGATCAAGGAGCATAAAGTGAATATTGTTGTTTCGACTGTGACTAAAAGGAAAGGACATGGCTCCGAAGATAACGGCGATTACGATGTGTTCTACAGCGGCGTGACCGAAGAACAACGTACACAGGAAGGGGTAGCTACAATGATGCCGAAAAGTCTACGAAGATTTGTTGTTAATCGGGAGACTATCAACAAGCGCATCATTAAAACGAACTTGAACACATACGGTCATAAGATCACGCTGCTCTGAGTACATGGGGTGAATGATGGTGCAACTGTCGCAGTCAAGGACCAATTTTTGGAAGATCTGAATGAGGAAATCACGCAGGTGGCAGTTGGCAGGGAAATAATTGGAATGGGTGATACGAACAGGAGAACGGAACGACGATCAAACTGTTAAGTAGTTGGACCGTTCGGGGAGGATGCTGTCACTGATAATGGAGATCGGCTCATCGAAAGTTGTACCCAAATGTAGATGAACATTTTGAATGGATTTTTCAAGCACAAGGACATCCACAAATATACCTGGGTCTAACCTCATCGATTAAGTGATAATGAGGCATGCAACTAAATTGAAAGTGCAGCAAGTCCGAGTTTACAAAGGCTTTCTTGCGGCAGTGATCATTATTTCCTCTAAGCAGGTGCTGCGTTCCCTTTTAAGGGGTGTAACAACAAACAGCCGATGCAGCAACAGCAGCAGAGTCAGGGAATTCAAGAAGAAGTGCAGTACAACATCGAAAGCTTGGAGTACTCGAGCGTTAAGGCTCTTTACATGAAACGCTTGGATGAGAAGCTGGGGGATGACTCGTCTGGAACCACAGGTGCTTACAGTATCAATTTATTAAAGAATGAAGATAGACAAGAAAATGCGGGTACAAGGCTGAAAAAACAAAAATTACAAATCACTGAACGTTTCGACCGGTCTCCCGGTCATTATAAACCATTGATCAATTATTCATCATTATCAATTATTTATTAAAGAATGCATCCACTCTGCAGCAAAAGAAGTCCTAGGTATTTACAAAACCAGTAATAAAGATCAGCGCCCGCAATTGTGGGATAAAGAAATAGAAGACAAGATCAATTTTAAGAGGCAGAAACATCGAATTTTCCTGTCTTCCAATTTGGCTGAAGATAACGTTGCTTACCGGGACGCAATGTCCAAAGTTGGGAGCCTCATAACTAGAGAGAAAAATGAAGCTTGGGAAAGCAACTATAATGGAATCAACACCTACCTAGAGGGAAGAAAAAGTGCCGAAAGTTAGAAGCTAATTAAATTTTTACGCAGAGACATGAAACGTGACATTTTATCTCTGATATCACTTAAAAACTGGAGGATCGTTTTAGAGATCTTTTGACGGAAAGGCGCCCAGAATTTCACTACGACAGCACAAACGACGGTACTACGAACGACCTGGAAATCATTATCTCGGATGTAATTAAAACTGTCAAAGAACTGGAAAAT